GCTGTCACGCCGACTTCGACGCCCTCGACGCTCTGTTTTCTTCTGTCCCTTCTTGTCGCTGAACGAGTACTCCACCGAGGCCGGTATTGCTGGCGTCCCTGTAGATTTCTGTCTCCGCAGACTGATCAAAATGCCCGAGGATAGGGGGCGACTGGAGCCTTCGATTAAGTTCATCGAACGCTTGTTCTTGTTCCTTTCCCCACTGGAACTGAACGTTGTCCTTCGTCAGATTCATCAGCGGTGCAGAAATTTGTGCAAAGTCACGAACGAAACGTCTGTAGTAGGTGCACAGACCAAGGAACCTTCGAACGGCCTTCTTGTCTGATGGTATCGGGAATTCGGCGACAGCGGACGTCTTTGCAGGATCAGGGCTTACACCCTGAGCGCTCACAACGTGTCCCAAGAATTTTAGCTCACCATAGGCGAACCGACACTTGGAAGGCTTGAGTGTCAGCGCAGCAGTCTTGATAGCCTGTAGCACGGATCGCAATCGTCTCAGGTGCTCGTCTAATTCCCTTGCGAACACCACAACGTCGTCGAGGTACACGAGACAGCTCTGCCATTTAGAGCCGGAAAGGACGGTGTCCATAACGCGCTGGAAGGCTGCCGGCGCTGTACACAGTCCGAACGGCATTACTTTAAATTCATACAGTCCGTCCGGCGTGACGAATGCCGTCGTCTCGAGATCTCGTTCGTCGACCTCTATCTGCAGTACCCACTCTCAAGTTCATTGACGAAAATTAACGGGCGTGGCACAGCCGATTCAAGCTGTCGTCAATGCGGGGCAGCGGATAGACGTCCTTTTTTAGAGCGCAGCTCTTAGGCGCCTGTTTCCGGCTTGAGCGGCATCGGCGTCGCCGTCGCCGTCGGCGTAACCGCGCGGTGTATTATGGGTAAATTTTCCCGAAGAAACCCGAGGTCCTCCCGAGGTCCTCCCGAAGGAACCCGAGGTCCTTCGGGAGGACCTCGGGTTCCTTCGGGAGGACCTCGGAAGGACCTCGGGTTCCTTCGGGAGGGCCTCGGGAGGACCTCGGGTTCCTTCGGGAGGACCTAGGGGGGGTCACGTGACTATGACGTCATCGGTGACGATGACGATGACGATGCGGATGCCGATGACGTCATCAGTGACGTCACTGATGACGTCATAAGTGACGATGACGATGGCGATGCGGATGCCAATGACTTCATCGGCATCCGCATCGTCATCGTCATCATCACTGATGACGTCACCGTCACGTGACCCCCCCAGGACCTCGGGTTCCTTCGGGAGGACCTCGGAAGCACCTCGGGTTTCTTTGGCAGGACCTCGGAAGGACCTCGGGTTCCTTCGGGAGGACCTCGGAAGGACCTGGGGTTCCTTCGGGAGGACCTCGGGAGGACCTCGGGCTCCTCCGGGAGGACCTCGGGTTCCTTCGGGAGGACCTAGGGGGGGTCACGTGACCTGAGGGGGTCACGTGACGATGACGTCATCAGTGATGATGACGATGACGATGCCGATGACGTCATCAGTGACGTCACTGATGACGTTATCAGTCATGATGACGATGGCGATGCGGATGCCAATGACGTAATCGGCATCCGCATCGTCATCGTCATCATCACTGATGACGTCATCGTCACGTGACCCCCCAGGTCACGTGACCCCTCCCCCCGAGGTCACGTGATCTCCCAGGTCACGTGACCCCCCCACCCCTTCCGAGGTCAACTGATCCCCCCAGTACCCTTCCCTCCTCCTCCTCAAGAGCTGCGCTCAAACTCGGCGTTACAGGGAGTTGTAAACGGCTTTCATTTTTGTTACTGCGTTGAGCCGGCGATAGTCCACGCAGACATTGTCTCCATGTACGTCGACGTAGAGCACAAGACGTGGGATGAGGTATTACCATACATCACGTTCGCCTACAACACCGCAGCTCAAGAAACAACCGGGTTTACACCATTTCAGCTGGTGCATGGAAGAAAAGTGACGACCATGCTGGACGCGATGCTGCTTCCATGAGCCCGTGGCTGACGGATGCGACGATGCCCATGCGGTCAGTCAGAGAGCAGAAGCGAGCCAGCTAGTCCGCCTTCGAATCCAAAATCAACAGCGTGTCGACGCTCGCCGGTACAATCTTCGTAGCCGCGCCGTTCACTTCCAACCCGGAGACAGAGTGTGGGTGTGGACGCCTATTCGTCGTCGCGGTCTCAGCGAGAAAATGCTGAAGCGCTACTTTTGTCCTTACAAGGTCATCCGACGCCTCGGAGATCTGAACTACGAAGTTCTTCGCGACGGAACACGCCAACCAACCAGACGTCAGCCACGACCCGAGGTGGTGCACGTCGTCCGGTTGAAGCCGTATTACGAACGATAGCACTTTCCACCGTCCTCGACGAGTGAACTGTTAACTGTGGCTCACGATTCTGCTGTCCTTTAGTTGTGGATCTTTTTTTTCTCGTTTTGTGCTGCATTGGGACGATGCGCTTTTTTAACGGGGGGAATAATGCCGCGGGCGCAACTGACCAATTAGGCAGCGCGCCCGTGGCATAACGGTTATCGCGCTTGTATTTCACGCAGAAGGCCAGGGTTCGATTCCTGGCCTTCTGGCATTTTTGTTGACACTGTAATGTTCTAGTAAATTTGATAACCGTCTTGCTGATTCGGGGTAGCAATGTTTTCCGCACCTAACCTTCTACGACGAATGTTCCTGGAGCCTACGCGTGTACAAAAGACTCCCCGTGGCAAGCCGCAGTCAGTTTCGCCCCAGCGTTCGACTCTGCTGTCAAGGCGACTTCAACGCCCGCGACGCTCTGCTTTCTTCTGTTCCCTTTTTATTTTTGGGCACAGGTTAACCTTAATAAACATTTTGTTTCTTCAGTTATTATCCCCTCAACAATTGTCATTCATGACAACATTATGAAAAACCTTTTTTTTTTCTTTTTTTTTTTTAATTTCGAAGCGATTGGCAGTGAGTAATCTGTACCGTTTCTGGGAATCTATTTAAAAATTCGGGAATCATATAACTCAAAAGTTGAGACCCATAATTTGTGCGAATATTTTCTTGAACAATTTCTATTGACGTAGGATATAGGTTGTTGTTTTCTGCGGGTAATTTTCTAGAACTAGATATAAATAAATAGATATAAATAACCAACAATGTGCGATACCCATTTAAAACACACTTATCCTTGTTTTTTGTTTTTGTTTTTTTTAACTTAGAAGACCATTTACGGGTGCTGACTGAAAACTTTATTGCATGTCTAACCAGGGTGGAGTGGAGTCCGAGGAACTAAAATGGCGGTGAAACATTTACCACAATACATATCTAGAACATCCAGAGTATACTCATCAAGGTAGCATAATATAGAAAAAAACAAGAGCGTTCAGCAACGGAAAAAAAAAAAACTGTCACATGACAGTGCTTAGCTAATTCCAAGAACATAATGCAAGAACATAATTATCTGAATATCAAAAATTGAAGTTTGGGATTGTGTTCTTTCTAACGGCACATTCGCCTATGTTTTTGTTCTACCAAACAGCATTATTAGATACATGACTTCTGAGAAACCTAATAATCCACAAATTTCATTTTTGAGCCTGTGTCCTATTCAACTCGGCTCTTCTATTTGTTATGGGCTAAGTTTTGTTATATATTTAATCAGTTCGTCTAATGGTACCACTCGGCTGCTATAATTACTGTAATAAAAAGCTCGAGTTACACCTAAGCATTTTTTATGAGTTAGTTGTGAATGCGAAAGCATGAAAGTCGCTCGTCGGCCCCTTTGTCGTCTGTTGCGTACTAGCGCGCGCGCGCTTAGGGATCTCGGAGACCATGGTGCAGCGACCAATGGGAGCCCCGTCGACGCGCACCAGACTATGGAACCGTGGGCGAAGCGCGCCCATTGGGACCGCGGAAACTAGGAGCCGTTTCGCGCTTCAAACTGATGACGCCAGCTTGCTCCATAAAACAGTTAATGCTTTCGCATAAAAACAAATTGAGAGCCCTTCCACCCCGTGAAGAGAGAACTCCAACGAAGCTGGCGCTTTGGTGGGATTTGCTACGTCGGGCTGGGAGCATCGCCAACGGCGGTTTCACGTTGGCGGCGTGTCCATTCTCGCTTCTCGGCGCGCCGACGCTCCTGGTACTACCGCTGCTCCTCTTTGGAACGTGCAACGCGGGTGCGGTCTATGGTCTGAAGTCCAACTGATAAGGACAGTGGCGCGATCTTCTGCAGGTGGCCGCCGAAGGGTGCGCGGCATTGCGCAATGTCAGGGGGGACAGAGAATCCGTGCGTGGGGAAGGCGCGTCCCTGCGGCGCCGGCGTCTGCAGCTTTAGCGGTTCTAAAGCAAAAGCCTAAAACTACTGGCATCTTGCAGGCGCGTTCGTCGACGCTTTATTTTGGTTATTTACTTCGAATCTTTTATATGGGAAGGTTTGCGCGTGAGGCGCAGGGGACTTCAGCTGTAACTGTTCTAAAACAAAAACCTAAAACAAATCGCAGCTTGCACGCGCATTCGTCAACGCTTTATGTTTGTTCTTTGCGACGAATATTTCATACGGGAAAGGCGCGCGAGTGCGGCGCCGGCGTCCGCAGCATAAATTGTGCAAAATTGTTGGTCTACGCTTTTTCCGACCACGGAGATAATCTGCCAGAACCTAGCCATAGACAGCTTCGCTGCAGAAACCTCGCTCGGCAGTCGAGCGGACAATTTGTGGCGTGTAGGATGATAACGTAGTATGAGTTTTACATTTCAATTTTCCAGCACAGTACTTATCTACATGAGATATTTTAGCTCGCCAGCAGACTAAGGTGCAGCTGTGTGACCTTTATGTGCGGCAAAAGCAAAAAGCGGAGCTGGCTGTAGTTGCAATTTTTTATCACGTGACTGGAGCCTTAGTCCACTAGTTATAAAGCAGAATATGATCAGTGTACGCACTACGACCTGAAAGGTTTGTACACGTTAGTATTCTGAATTTAAACAGCGTCTCCAAAAATTTCCTTTGCAGGTACGGGCGCCGTCATGTCAACGGACAGCAATACAGCACTTTCCACACTCAATCCGGAGCTCTACAACGACGCCACCGCAAAAGCATGGTTCTCGTTTGGCGTGGATGGGCTGGAAGCAATGAATGGGGCCTACGGCATGGACGCCAAAGATGATAAGCAGTTTATTGATTTGGGTTGCGGTCCAGGAGATATCGCGCGTGACGGTCTGCTTCCACGCTGTCTGCTATGCCGGAGGATTGTCGCAGTAGACTTGTCCAGGGACATGGTGGAGTTCGCCAACACGCACTATGGCCATCCTAAGATCATATACGACGTCCTGGATATCGTAGCTGATGAAGTGGCAGACTTTGCGGTTCGGTACGGCCGGTTTGATCGCGTCTACTCATTCTTTTGTTTCAACTGGGTGAAAGATCAAGAGAAAGCGTTCAAGAACATGGCTGAGCTGATGAAGCCCGGAGCCGAACGTCTGTTGTGGTTCTTTGCATCCAGTCCACACATTCGATTTCGCCAAATGTTGGTTGAGATGGAGCCCTGGAAGAAGTACGCGAAGGTGAGGTGCTGCAGAATAGATCCTCTGACTATGGTCAAGAAAATCCCAAATTCTATGTCATATGCCATTTGATGTAAAATTTCAGAACGTTAATCGACGTCGTGGAACAAATAAAATTAAGTACTGTGAATCGTACACGTCCTAGAAAGATAATTCCAGAAAGACCTGTGAGACAGAATTGTCTGCATAGACCAGAATAAGTATTCTAAGTCTATACTTAGATGGTTTGTCCTAGAAACCTTGTGAACATTTTTTGGGTACAATGGTAAATCTACAGGTATTTTGGAAAAGCCGATGATCAGTTCGACTTCTGGAGCCGGAGACCAGATCTATGAAGAGGCGACAACGGTTCGAAAGGTTTTGCATAAATTCTAAAGAGAGAAGCAACGGAATGATGCTGGGCAGAATCATATATCAGGACTCATACCCTCGGGAATTAATCACACATTATTTTGTTAAACTTTATTTATTGTAACGTTCAAAGGTACCAGGCTTGCTGATCATCTGGTTTAACCTCACTGTGTATTTATGTGCTTATTAAAATTGTGTTGCTTTTAAAAAATTGTAATCTCACCATTTCAATATCTTTTTCTAGTATTTTGTGTTTATGTCTTTTACGCAGGTCGCTGAAAGGTGCATTCCTCCGACCATCAATATGAATGGGAAAGACGAAATAGCTTCCTACATCTCCAGTCTACTGAAATCTGCTAACCTCACACCATCTATATGCAACGTAACCCAAGAAGCACTTGTGAACTACGACAGCGCCGAAACCATAACCTGCAAGCATTTTTTTCACACTGTCGCGACCTCTGAAGCGCAAGTCTAGAGGGTCAATAGATTATTTGCACAAATTGGAGCTCGGATTTCGGGGTGATGACTGGAAGCTTCTATTTCTTCTTGTCACCCAGTCTGGGCAATCAGGGAGGTTAAAATAACTGTAAGACATATAGGAATCATTACGGAGTAAAGCAATTAAACTTGTTCGATTATCTTTGCTAGTAACAGATGCGATCATGTGTACATCCCTGACGGAATAGTGCCGCGCGCCAAGTAGGCAGCGCGGCCGTACCTCGAAGGTCGGTCGGGATTACCAGCAGCCACGGCGAGTTGTTGTCCCCGAAGTTCTCTTTGTAGAGTACACCTTGTCGAATGGTGAAGGTCGACACGGCTCGTGAGAAAACACGGGGTACGGTACCGCCGCGCCCTTCTAGGTGCTCGATTAAGGCTCGCAGCTACGGATCGTCTCGTTGACGTCGTGCCATGTCATCGGTGTTCACTGCCCCTAGAAAGCACTCGTCATCATCGTCGTCGCTGCTGCCGGAAGGTGTTTCGACAGGGGCCCTGGACAGGCAGTCAGCGTCGCTGTGCTTGCGTCCTGATTTGTAAACCACAGTCATGTTGAACTCTTGTAGCCGGAGGCTCCATCGAGCGAGGCGTCCTGACGGGTCCTTGAAGTTCGCAAGCCAGCAGAGCGAGTGGTGGTCCGTGACTACGCGGAACGGGCTTCCGTACAAGTGCGGACGAAACTTCGTGATTGCCCAGACGACCGTAAGGCATTCTTTCTCAGTCGTGGAGTAATTTCTCTCTGCCTTGGACAGTGTCCAACTCGCGTAGGCGATGACTCGTTCGGTGCCTTCTTGTACTTGAACTAGTACCGCGCCAAGTCCTGCGTTACTTGCGTCAGTGTGAATCTCGGTGTCCGCATCCTGATCGAAATGTCCAAGAACCGGAGGCGTCTGGAGTCGTCGCTTCAACTCGTCGAATGCCTGCTGCTGTTCCTCGGCCCATTCGAACCTCTCGGCGTCCTTCGTGAGGTTTGTGAGCGGTGCGGAAATCCGTGCGAAATCCCGAACGAACCGACGATAGTAGGCGCAAAGTCCAAGGAATCTTCGCACGGCCTTTTTGTCTGTCGGCGCTGGAAATGACGCGACGGCGCGAGTCTTCTAAAGGTCTGGGCGCACGCCTTCGTTGCTAACTACGTGACCTAGAAACTTCAGTTCGTCATAGGCGAACCGACACTTTGACGGTTTGAGGATGAGTCCAGCGGTCCGTATGGCTTGAAGAACAGCTCGGAGTCGTCGCAAGTGCTCGTCGAAGTCGCTGGAAAACACCACGACGTCATCGAGGTAGACCAGACAGCTCTGCCACTTCAGTCCTGCCAGTACGGTGTCCATAACACGCTGGAAAGTTGCTGGAGCCGTGCACAGTCCGAAGGGCATCACCTTGAATTCGTACAGCCCATCTGGCGTGACGAAAGCTGTCTTCTCTCGGTCCCGTTCGTCGACTTCGATCTGCCAGTAGCCGCTCTTCAGGTCCATCGATGAGAAGTATCGAGAGTGGCGCAGCCGGTCTAACGTGTCGTCGATTCGGGGGAGTGGGTAGACGTCTTTCTTCGTCACCGCGTTCAGCTGCCGGTAGTCCACGCAGAACCGAAGCGTTCCGTCCTTGTTCTTAACCAGTACGACTGGAGAGGCCCACGGACTGCTTGATGGCTGGATTATGTCGTCGTTCAGCATCTCTTGAACTTGCTCCTGGATCACCTCCCTTTCTTTAACTGAGACTCTGTACGGTGGTGTATGCACAGGGCGCGCGTCGTCCTCGGTAATGATGCGGTGCTTCGCAACGGCTGTTTGGCGTACCTTCGACGACGTCGCAAAGCAGTCACGGTATTCGGCGAGGAGGTTAATCAGCTGCCGTCGTTTCGGGTCCGGAAGCTTAGGGTCGATGTCAAGTTGCGCTGGTGACGTACCGTCTTGCTGAGGTGGCGAGGATTCATCAGTAATGGCGGCGATTTCGGCGGAGTTTCGGAGATCCTCGACGTGGCCAACGGCTGCACCTTTTGTGAGGTGTTGCGTTTCATTCCGGAAGTTCGTCACGAGGACCACAGTGCGGCCATCCTGAAGTTCAGCTACTCCTCGTGCGACGCCTATTCCTCTTCCCAGGCGCAACTGGAGGTTACCTTCCAGAAGAACTTCGCTACGGGTAGCTGCATCGGTCACGACGGGTACGACAACACTTGATCGCGGCGGCAGATTCACGTGGTCGACAGCGACTCGGACGGCGGCTGACGCAGTTTGGAGTTTCTCTGAAGGCGGAACAGGTGTCCGCAGCGTCAATCTGTTTTCTCCAAGGTCGATGACGGCGCCGTATTCACACAAAAAGTCCATGCCGAGAATGACGTCTCTGGAACAGTCTTTGTAGAATGACGAATTTCACAGGACACGTCTCGCCGTGAATTTCGACGCGAGCGGTGCACCTTCCAACAGGCGTGATGAGGTGCCCTCCGGCGGTTCGTATCTGCGGTCCATCCCACGGCGTCGTGACTTTTCGAAGGTGGCGGAAGAGCCTTCCACTCAAGACCGAGTAGTCTGCTCCGGTGTCCACGAGTGCTGATGCGTCGTGGCCGTCAATGACGACATTTAGGTTATTGGACACCGCTGCAGAGGCGTCGTTTTGGTCTCTGGTAGCGTTCGAGTGGGGGCCCTCCGACGTTCGTGGAGGATCTTGGCGTCGGTCGTCTTCGGCAACTCCACCTCCAGGGGTGGCCGCGCCTAGTTTCCCCGGCGTGGAGCGAGGGGCGACAGGCTTTCACGTCGGGGTCGGTGCATCGGCGAAGCTGGAATTCGTGGTGAAGGCGATCTGAACTCTCGGCGGGACGCAGGCTCGGGGGACTGGGGTCGTCGCAGATACTCGTCGATCTCCCGGGGGCGTTCACCATACCGTGGGCGCGGGTCGCTTGGGTGGAATCCGCGCAGCCCGAGTCGTCGGTATGGGCATCGGCGGTACACATGGTCAGCTTCCCCGCAGTGGTAACACAGCGGGCGTCGGTCAGCCGTCCTCCAGACGTCTGTCTTCCTCGGCGCCTGATCTTCCATTCGTCGGGGGTACTGCGGCGTTGGGGCGTCTCTTCGGGGTGGCGACGTGGGTTGGCGGGGAGCTTGCGGCGGTCGTCGGGCCATCGCAGCGTAGCTCAACGTCGGTTCCTCCGGTGCCACCGTGGTGACGGGAACCTCTGGTTGGAACGCCCGATGCACTTCTTCTCGGACAGCCTCGGCGATGGAAAGGGTTGGCGGACAGCTGGTAGTTGGCAGCAACCTTCGCAGTTCCTCCCGGACAACCTCTCGGATAATTTCCCGGATGTCCGGTGTACCCAGAGTGTTTTCGCCGTTAAGCAGTGTGGGTGCAGCGACGCCTGGATGTCGCTGGTAGCGGGAAGTATGTGCCTGAAGCGCGCGCTCGATGTTGGTTGCTTCGGCGATGAAAGCTTCGACGGTGGTAGGCGGGCTCCGCACAAGGCCACCGAAGATGTTTTCCATGTCGAACGCTGGGGCGAGACTGACTCCGCTCGCCTTGCGGAATCCCTTATGTACCCTCGTGGGTTTCTGGATCGTTCGGCGTAGAAGGTTCGGCGCGTGGAACATTCTAACCTCGAATCAGCTAGACGGTTCTCGATTTTACCAGAACATCACATTACAGTGTTAACAAAAATGCATAGTCGCGGCCAGGAATCGAACCCTGGCCCCTCGCGTGGGAGGCAAGCGCGATAACCATTAGGGTACGGCCGCGCTGCCTACTTGGCGCGCGGCAATAGTCAGCATGGCATACCAACACACTTGGAAATATTGTCTTTTCTGTCTTCTTGTTCCCGAGCTCCGACATCTCACAACCACGGTTTTTCTTACAAATAAAAAACACAAAAAAGGTTGGCTCAATGCCGTGCCGGACAAAAATTATAATTTTTCTTTTTTTTTTACATATTACAGGGTAATTCGGTTCTTTCTATATTTTTACATAAATCTCCTAGCTTTATTCTTGAACTAACTGAGAGTGTCATTGCATATAGAAAAGGGAGTTTAATTTAATTAAGGTGAACTCGATTATTCGTTGGCCGCACTCTGTACAAAAAAAAAACATGGGGCATGAAATACAGTTAATTTCATTGGAAGCCTTTCTCCGGATTACTGTTCCACTGGCCAGTAACTAGCGCTCTTTTTGCGCGCAAACTTACAAGCATTACAAGACGTTTGGGCAATGTGAACGTCGGCTGTTGTCGTTAATCATGTTAAAATCAAACACAACAAAAAAAAAGCGCTATTGACCGGCGTGCAAGCACAGTTTGAAAGTTTTTGTCCCTTTCGGCGTGACTCATCAGAATGTTATGACTCGGGCAGGTACATTGTAACGCTCTAAACGTGGATATGCCATATTGATCGAATATCTAAGTTTTGTATTACAACTAGTTTTTCAGTATAGATTTATGAGATATTCACAGTAGGAAGGGTGTACGTTCATCGTATTAATTTGTTCTATTGTTTTCTTCAGCCCCTGACAAACTATTTCCCTTAAAAGAAAAATGATGTGAAGTCCTTGTTTACGGCAGCAAGAATTTTAAACGGGCGTAATAAAGTAGTGAGCGGTCCCTCCCTGAACTGGCTTGAATGCTTCGCTTTTGGCAATGATGAGATGTTTGGCAGTTTTTTGTAAAATATCTGATTACAAATCAAAAACGGGCGTTCTCACTTGCCCTTTTGTATTCACTTCTTGTGTGCGTCTGTTACCTCTCATTTTCTTTACTATATGTGAATCCCGAAGAAAATGTTTCCACTCCTTTTGCAGCTTCAGAAACTCAATACGAAGCTTTGCTCGTGTTCAGAAATCTCACTCTTAACAATTAGCTATAGATGTTTATTGCTATTTATTTTTCAGTGGAGTTGATGGCCATGAACCCCTTGACGAACTTGATGACTGAAGAGGAAAAATCAGATCTTCTCAAGGAAGCGACCAAAGAAGCTAGCAAACTGTGGCATGAGCAAGAAACAAAGGGACCTCCAATAATGTTTGACGTCGTCGCAGTGTGTGCATTCAAGCCTGAACCATAGCGCCAGTTCAATGAAATGTTATATTGCAATTTTGTGTGCCATTTCGGGGTATTTGGGATGCACGAAGAAAAAAAAATATATAAACCAGAGCAGAAAATGGGTGCACTGCGAGATATTTTGACCGAATAGCACGAAATGTATGTTGGCTGTTTTTTCTTTTTGCAAACAAATAAAATGTAATCAAGAATTTTAATGTGGTTTTCAAGACATTGATGATATCGCAAGAAATAATATAGCGTGCCTTACTATTGTGCACATTTTTTAATTTTTTTTTAGATGCGTATAAATAAACCTACATTATATTCCGTTCACATCAAGTAACACTTAAATGAAAGAACAAAAGTTTTATTTATTCGCCTGAATAGAACACACATTTTTTTCTACGATTTTTACGCAATATTTACGCTCTTAGTCGCAAAGGTGGAGGTCACGGCCAGCCCTAAGCCTCGTCTACAGGCTGTTCGGCGGAGCAAGCTCGTAAACCTACTTACTCAGTCGCGACTTCCGGAGCATCTGGTTTGGCGTCTGACACCGCCTGCAAGTCGTGCAAGCAGACGCGCGCCATCGTCGGGCATCTTACGCTAATCCCGTTTATCGTCGTCTGCAAGACTCAGACTACGGTTCATAGAACGCGTCTGCCACTGCTGTATTTAGTGTCCTATCTCGCCAATATAACAAAACAGGTCCCGAACTGGCAAGAAATGACGTCTCAGAAGCCGGAGTGTCATGTTCGATCACCAGTCACTGGTCAATCGTTATAACGTGGTTCATGGACGCCATGTGGAGTCCACTATTTGCTGGGGGTCTGTGCAGATACGCAGGTCTTTTTTTTTTTTTTTGCCCTACTCTGACTTTAGACAGGCCTGGAAACAATTTTATATTTTATGAAACGCATAAGAGAGAATCTTTCATTTCTCCCCAGTTTTAGTTTGACACGCTAAGTAATTTTTACACGTGAATATCTGTGAAAATCACTGATCTTTATGTCTATTTGCTGGATCCCGTTTGACCAGCTCCGCCTATGGACGGGAATGCGGCCACGGTCGGCCATCTTATTAATAGAGTTATATTATCTCTAGCCATCATAGTAATATGGCGGCAGGCTGCCATAAAATAGCCGCAGATCTAGTACAGTGTACCATGGGTGATATTGCGTGCTTGATTGACGTTGTTTAACGAAGCAGATTCTGGACACCCGGCGTGAACGGTAGCCTCATCTTTGAGGACCCGGCGAAAGTTCTACGAAAGCGCAGCACTGGAGAAAGCAGCGCAGCGCCATTGAAAGCACACTCCTTACCGGCGTCTGCTCTCGATGCGACTTTCGATGCGTGCTGTGCTGCTTTCCCCCGATGCTGCGATTTCGTGAAACTTTCACCGGGTCCTCAAATATCGGGCTACCGTTTACGCCGGGTCTCAAAAATATGTTTCGTCAAACAATTTCAAAACAGCACGAAATATCACCCACGTTCTTTTGATGGCAGCCCACCACCACAACTGCCACAACGCTGTCTGCCATGGATGGATGATAGTGGCTGCAGCAGCTGTACCTTAGCTAGAGGTGATATAACTCTACCAAAAATATGGCCGCCAGTGACCGCATTCGCGGAGCTGGCAAACACGATCCAGCAATTGTCAGAGAGATCAGTGGTAAAAATCGTCATCCTGACTTTCGCCGCGTATCTGGCAACAGTGGTTGCTGCTCGGCTTTGGCCTCAAACAGTGGCAAACAACAGAAACAGGGGTGAGCACGGTGCTTGAGGTCAAATTGGACGTGCGGGCCCGTTAGTCACAGTCTTAGTCCTCCCCCCCCCCCCCCCCCAACTAGTCTATTTACTATTTTTTTTTAATCGGCCAATAAGATCTGGACATTGTTACATGGTCGCAACCCATGTGTAAGAAGCAGACGAACATACGCTCCGTTTTTATAAACACTTCCACGGCTCACAAGCAGCGATGACCGCATGGACTGTGTAAGTCCCAGCGGAGCAGCCGCCACACAAGGAGTGCTCGCGTTCTATCGGAGTATAAATCAATTACTTACCGCCCTGCACCGCTTGCACACTGCAGTCGGTGCGGCGCCCATGTGAAGTGGCGGGACCAAATCGTCGCTCAGGTGCTTCGGTTTTCGCCGAAAGCCGTATTTCTTGGAGAACTTCCACGATGAGCACGATTCTGCCCAGAAATGCTTGGAGCACATACGTTCGGGTTCCGGTATGCGGCTGCCGCTGCTCATTCCAAGTGCCTTCAGCCACTGACTTCGCTGTGGCTTCTCGGCAGGCACGCGATGAAATGTGACGCTGGCATCACGATTACAGAGCGTCCGCCCGCAGCCATTTACGAAGCACTACATCGTTAGGGCGCCAGAACCAAAAGTGCTGCTGTCATATTTTTGCAGAAAACACGGTCCCTCTAAATTACAAGGACATCTACAGCAAGCAGTAAAGTTTTCTTTGAGCACTGCAACGCTTACCACACTTTTCCTGAGTGTATTAGGAATTTGAAACTTGCCGCAGAGCGCGAGACCACAGGAGCCGAATTCGTACTTTCGCGTCTTACAAAATCTGCCGCCGGCGTCGTGCGTCGTCTTCTAGTATCCGAGGGGGCGCCTGCGCCGCCTCTCCCCCCGTTGGTGGTGGGTATGTTGACGGGCCATTTCTTGTTTCCGTACTTTCTAAACTGCACTTGTTTTTTTTTCTTCTCTAAAATACTGAACAAACATTAATTTCATAAATATTTGAGACATTTCGCGCCACTTCTATTTTGTATTTCGACTAAAACAAAAAGCTTTTGGTGGCTCTGACCAGTCGTAAGGCAGGAGCAGTCTGTGTAGGCACTAAGATGGTGAAAGTATTCCCTCGTTCTTGCTCTCAGGAACTCCGATTTTTCTTGAAATGCGGTCCTCAACTTTCTTGCCAGCTCCACTTCGGAGGACTCATCAAATCTATTCAGCTTAGGAAACGATCCTAAAAACTAGTTTTCCATACGGTCTGCAAACAACACGGCGCCGTTTCGCACGGGAGACAAGAGAGGGCGCAAGCGGTCGCGACGCCAACTGCCGCCAACGAACGAGCAGACGACGCCGAGAGCCGGCTTATTTAGCAGACAAGGGACTGCAGTTCCTTGTTCTTACCGCGCCTGTTTCTGTTTCTGTGACTGCCGCCACCTGCCGAACGCGCCGCTTTTGAGTCGAAAAGATTGTTTGCTAAAGACGCTGGCTCTCGGCGCTGTATGCTTGTTCGTTGGCGGCGTTTGTTGCGCCATCTCTTGTCTCCCGTGCGAAACGGCGCCGCGTTGTTTGCAGACCGGTGGCGTCGCTGCGTTTCCATAGGAGCTAAGCCTTTTTATTTTTTTACTTTTTCCTCAGGTAAGTTCGTTCCTTGCAAATTTTACAAAAACAAATGCACCATCTGTGGGCAACGCTGCACAAAGTCGTAGCGCGATAGGTTAAGAAACCGAATTTTCCGATCGATTTAAAGAGCCTGCCGTCTCCTTGAATCACCCGGTACTTTTTTTTTTTAATGTCCACAAAAAAGAGGCTATGCAGCATCGATTGTACCGTTTTTTCTCGCACATTATGTGATGTTTTCTAAAACAAAAGTACCGACGTAAAAACGCTGTGGAGACGACATGAAAAAGCAATATTTTTGGAGTGAACCCAGTCTTGTAGTGGAACGGAAAACATAAATGTTTAACGATTGTTTACAGTAAACACTTCACCTCTAAGTAGAACTTCAACCAAGTGATGGTTACGCGCTTTCATGCCCATTTCAACGAAGTTGAGAGAACGATGTATTGCATCTTGTGAACACACATGTGGAGCAGCATGTTTATGTTCGAGGCATTGTGTGCAATCGCTGCGCAGTACCTACCAAAAGAAGATATTCTTTGGGCAGTCTCAACCGTTTTCGTCTACGTGTGCTACGAATACAGCAACTCCGTTCGTAGAAGAAGTGACGAGGAAATGGCGTGGGCCCTTGATAGTACGATTGGGATTATGAAAGAAAATTTTTAATTAACCAATAATGGTGACCTGTCCGGTCGCCTGGAACCCCGACAACTACTATCGTTCTCTGGAAAGTTCATTCTAATATTTAAAAGTTTTGTGAAATTCCTCGAACGAATAAGGATGTTCCAACAATGAGCGAACCCCCACACGAGTTCCCGAATCTAACACAGCGCTTTTGAATTTTAGCGCTGTAGATAGTTCTGCGAATATTCGTCTAACAATCTTGCAACGTTGGAAAGCATCGGAATGACTCAGAATCACTGCGGAGTTGATACTCGGGAAGATAAGACGGCTACGAGGGGGAAACGGACCGTGGCATTTGAGACAAGGGAACTGCCGCAGGACAAACCTGCTACAATCGCATACCCTTCCAAGCTAATTGCTTGGGCGACCAAAAAACCTTTATTTTCTTCTTTTTTTTAAGGGGGGGGGGGGGGGTGTAGGCGCTGATTGTCTTCCTCCTTTGTGGCTTTTGACAGACGCACAACGACACTGTCAGAACAAGCGCGGGATTCATTTCTCTGGATCGATGCTTTCTGTGTATGTATGCGAACATGATTTTTTCTTCTTTATAGTAGTTAGTTGTACTTGCCTTGACTCGGATCCCAGTGGGTGCGTTGTCGTTGTATGCCCACTATTCTATTTAGTTTATGGTATTATATTGCTGATGGGGACGAAAAAAAAAGAAGAAAAAAAGGAAGAAACTGTTGCATTAAAAAACAAACAAAAAAAAAAAACATTGCCGTTTTTGCGATTAGGAGCGTTTTCAAAGCCCAGAGCACCTCGCCTTCATTCCCGTGATATGTCGCTCGCTTTCGCGTGGCACTCCTCTATTCTGAAGGCCACCGTGTTTTTCAGGGAAGGAGGCGATTTTAGGTGCGCGCAGTGTTACCAAAGGTGCAGGATTGAGAGCGTAACCCAAGCACTTGAAGAGAAGGGCAAGGGGGAGCTCTCTTCTTATCAGGATATTCTTTCATGGGTCTCCACGTCGTGA